TTTTTCACAAACAGCAATGGTATGGGAACACTCCAGTTCGCGAAGAAAGACGACAACTTTATTCACAAAAATCATCGGTTCAACCTTCATCCAAGGTTGCACCACACCCGAGTGAGTTGGACATAGCCAAAAACCACGCGAATCCATCCATTTTGTGAAGAAATACGTCAACTTTATTCACAAACCACCTTGGTCCCTGAAACAACAAATGTGTGATGAAATGGCCCCGCACAAAATCATTCCTTGCAAAGAACTCTCTCCAGAATACATACCACTTCGACCCAGTTGGCCAGTGTTGGCTGTAGGAAGTTATGTTTTTCTTGTTGGTACTTGTTTGATAACACATTCACAAATTCATTGCCGACATGACTTTCTCTTCACAAAATACACCGTGTGTCAGTGCAGCTCTTCACAAAATGATGGTAACCTTGGCAATGTCGACCCAAAGCTAGCAGTGAGACAAGGCATCTGAGACAATAGTAATTGCCTCTGACATAGGTAACCCTGCTTTCCACAGTCGCGTGGCCGCAGAATACAGGGCGCTGTTCCGCTTTGAGCGGAGATAGCGAGCCGCTTCAGCTTGGTTTGGACGGTTTCGGACGAGGCGCAAAGCATTGGGCACCTAGCCGAGCCATGCTTTGGTTGGTGACATGAAGATTCTTGGCATCAATCTTTTGTAGGTGCTTGCGATTCTAGTGAGATAGAGGTTGCTTGTGGTTGGGACAGCACAAACATGATTTGAAGTTACACAACACGTGTTCTGATTCTGTGTTTGAGACCGCTTCAAAGTCTTGGCCTCGATACCTTTCGGGCGCGCGCACAGCAGGACCAACAGCTGGCCCTCGATTTGGAAGAGCCCTCAGCAAGCCGTGGAGTCGTTCAAGTCGCTAGTTGAATTGACAAGCAGCACAATGTATGATTAAAGATGATTAAAGGATATTAAAGGGTCACTAAAACTGGGTAAGACAGCTAGGAATCACACCAGCTGACATCCAGCAGCGGCTCATGAGACATTACATTGTTTGCAATGTCTTCCAATGCTTGGGCAGCGGGATGCATATCAAAAGGGTATGTTCCTCGCAAAGAAAAGGGTATTCAGAAAAGAAACATGACTCCATCGCGCTGAACCTTCTCCAACAAAACTTCTCCAACACAAGCGGTCGCTTGACAATTGCTCAGGCCGAAACTCATCAGCGCGGCATACTTCCTGAAGCTGCTAGCTTCATCGTGGCTGACGGTCTTGGGCTCGATGAAGACTGACAGGAAACCGGCTTGTTGCAGGAGTTGGGTGCAGAATCACTGTTTTGATGTTTTGAAAGCAATTTTACTCTAGACAATCACAAAAGGGAGCCTGGCGGAGACCCAACAAATCGGTTCGCCACATCAAAAGGCAGGAACAACATGGGTGTCCCTTGCCAATGCACATCGCTCATAAACCTTTTGGTCCTTCGATTGACCGCGTACGCAAAACAATGATCATCATTAGCGCACTGCTTTTTGACAGTCCTCAAGATCACATCCGAGGGATGCGCATTGTACCCAGTCTTCCGCCAAAACTCATCGTTGACGGTGTTCCGAGGGATGCCTGGCAGCTTTGGGTACGCTGGCCAGGTTGCCGCAATCTTGGGTGGTGAACGCTGCCAAGTCCATAACACTAGCTACATTTGGCAAAGAAAACTGCATCTAAGAATTGTTTCTAAGTCACTCGATGACTTTTCAAGGATGTTGAATGGAAGAAGCCCAATTATAATGAAGTGAAACGGACCCCAGAAGCTATATAGCACAAGGTACATAAATCTGAGACGCGGTCGAATCGGAAGAGATGTGGCGCCCCAGGGCCACCACAGCCAGTCAAATGACAGTGAGCAAAATTCTCGGAGAGAAACAGTTTCCTCAGCTGCATCGAATTTACGGCGTTCAAGAGATTTGCACTAATTACCGCAACCCCCCTGAGATGTACAAGAGTCCAGTCGCGATACTGGGTGACATAATTGACCTGGCGATGCCGCTGTTCTAAAGGACGCCGCTCCTTGTTGGACAACCACTCTTGGAGGCAATCTCGAAACTGTTCAGGGGTCCACAACTCCTGATGGGAAGCCAGCCAAGAACGAAGTAAGGAGAACATGGCATCAATGTCCTCGTGGCTGTGGCCACTTGAGAGGAAACCAAGTTCTCCAGCTTTGATTTTGGATTGTGATACCCAAAGGGCCATGGCCCTAAAAAGGGTATTATTTTTGGCTTCTTTCGTGCAGTTGTCTGCTTGCAGACTGAGCACGCAGGACCGGAGATCCACGGAGCGCCCCAGCATTGTGAGCCCATTGGCAACCAGTTCGCAGGATCGACTGCTGTTGGCCGTGCAGTGATGCGGTGAAAGGTTGATGGATACGCTGTGCCCATGAAGTATCAGGGTGGTGGATGTGAGTCGTGGTCGGTTGAAGGAAGCGAAGTCTTTGCTATTCATAGTCTTGCTACGTGGCCACGAGTGTTTCTGGGCATCCATGGAGTCGATGATCCCGCTGATGCAAAACACGCATGGGTGATTTCGCTGTAACCTGGATTGCGCACGTATATCCCAATATGTTTGTCGATCGCGGTGCTGACGGGATAAATGGCGCTGAAGCAGGTCTTCCTGAACACGCCTCGCAGCGGGACAGTGGCCCAACCGACGCAGGATGAGTCTGTGTCTGATACATTGCGAGCACTTACTGTGGTGTTGCGCAAAGCGTATGCGTAGTTTCCCATCAAAGTCATCCTGCCAAACCTGAACACATCCCAAAAGCATTGGTGTCGGGCTTACACATTCACGCATTATGCACTGGGAACTAAGAAAAGTTATGTTATTAAGACAGGCTACTGCCGTGAATAGTTTTTTGCTCACGCTGAGATGTGGCAAAGAAGCTTTGCACTGCAGGTAGTACTCGTGTATTGATCCCGGAGGAAGATGTTTTATCTGCGAACGATCCATCTGACGATCAAAGCGGTTGCTGCCCTGTCTTGGGCGTTTGTTGCTGTTAAGGCCATCAGGAATGACCTCGGCTACCTCTGTGTACAACTTGGTGAGGAATTGGTGAACTGCCACTCGTTTATCTGAAGGCGCTTGCTTGCCTCTGGGGATGTAGCGCGCATCGTACGGGCAAAAGGGTTCACCCTTACGAGTGGCTGCCTTCATGCGAGCAAACCGACCCTTGCCAATGGCCATGAGCTTCCGAAATGCACTGTTACACACAGGGTGGCCCTCATAAGAAAGATGTCGAATGCCAGGGCACGAAGGGTCCTGCTGTGACTTCATGATGTCATAGACCTGCAGCGTGAACACAAGTTCACGCTGAAGGCGCTCTAGAAAAACAATTGAAATGATTTCTCAGCTGCGTAATTTCATGTTTAACAAACGGTGGGTGGCAGGTGGGCTTGAACGAGATCTAAGAACCAGGCATGTTGATCCTTTTCTCGCTTGGTCATCTTGTCGAAAAGCTTTCGTAGACTAAACCACACTCGCCACAAAGCACCGTCCCGAAAGGGATGGAAACACGACAAGGTGCAGCCACAGCGTGACATGATCAAGTGTCGCAGCAGTTGTGGGTTTGCTGTATTCTTCTTCTCACACGAAACCCGTTTCTTGCCAGGCCGTCGACGACCCCAAAGGACACGCTTCGGAGGCCGAGACTGGGGAAGAGCTTCCTCATCGCTCAAACGATCCACACTTGGCAATGGCGTAGAGTGCGCCTGAAGCCGATTGAGTGCAAATAGACTGTCATAGAACGGGTGTGTTTAAAATCATTTGTGAGATTTTGTGAGTATAGGTTGTAGAAGGCTATGGATTCGGCCAATCAGATCCGTCAGTACCCAACGGGCCTTCCCAGTTTTCAACTCATCCAGGGAATCTTCGAACATGCCGCTGCCGGTGCTCAGTCCTCGGGCAGTCGCAGGGGGCCAACAGTTCGCGGTTTCGGGATGGTTTCGGGCGCATGAAACGATGACCATGACTGATCGGTTCAAGAATCTCCCACAGTGCAAAAGCAGCCAAGAAAGCAAGAACAGAATCATGGCCCGGGCAACATTGACAGAATCTGAATGAAATTGTTTGTCAGTAGGGTACGAAAGGTTTGTTGATGTTTGTTGACATATGTCGACATGCTTATACGAACGGTTTGTTGATGTTTGTTGACATATGTTGACATACTTATACAACACAATGCAAGGTTAGCAATCGTGTTTACAAACGAGATCAAAC